AATAGCTTTAAAAGATACTTAGAGCAAGGGCTTCGCTCAAAAGACTACACGTTTTGCATAACATTCTACCTTATCCTCGCTCCCAGGGTTACAAAGTATTTACACATGTACAGTGTGTAAATATCCTGTAAGTGTCCTAAACTATGTAAATATCTTGTAAATGCTCACTTCGGATTTCACGATATGTACACCTTATTGATAAAACATTTATTCTATTCTTTTTTTTTAAAGAACATTATTTTCCAAGATAACACCAAACTCAAACAATTTGAAAGTTGTCTATCATCTGGAGATTGAGAATTACAAGATTTGGTTCCATTACCAGTATGAACCACAAGGCAATACATCAACAATTCMACTTGTTCCTCTGCAAAGYMAGAGTCAGCATCTCAAACCCAATGAGTGGCATTTGATTACAGTGACTGTAGTTAGTAAATACCTGTCGTAYTTTATTGATGGGAARTTTATTAAAGCTGCATCACTTAAAGCTGCAATAAATGATCCTAGCGGGCGGGTACGCATTGGGCAAAGATATGGAGGTAAGTTTTCCCAAGTTCAAATGTAGAAATTATCTTGAATTAAAAGGTWAGTCTAAGTACCTTTGCATCGAGGTTAGCGTCCATCGATAGTGTTTATCTGTAAATGATAACTGATGAAAATCAATATTTTTGCCATTTCTAATTAATTTAAATATTTACAATTATCAAACAACATGCATAGGCTCAAGTCAATATGAAGGTCTMATGCAAGACATATTTTTGTACAACATTGCATTAACAAACAGGTAAGAGTTTAAGCAAAGTGAACGTGGAATATTTGGTATCAGGGGTTCTAGAATTAAGTAAGCGATGCCCAGTGCTTTGGGTGAGCAATTCACATGATCTATAAGTTTGGGTGCAAAACGTCTAACATCGATCGCCACAAGGGAACCCTGAATTCGGTAAGGTAGTAAAGATAACCATGTATGGGGATGGATATCTGAGGCCGAATCCACCTTGATCCTCTTGAGAACATGTAACCTTAACTATCTTCAACTCCTTTTTGTCCCCCTTGATACCATATTTGCAATTGTTTGTGGTGTGTGCACCCCTTGAAGACCTGTACCTCTCCCTGAAGAAAATCCTGGATCCATCCCTCCGCAGTCTCCACCTTGAAACAACAATAGGGGGCAAAACTGTTTGTCGTGACTGAACMAAAATTGCATATCCAAGGCGCTCGCCACTCAGGCGTTTCTTCGACCTCCCCTTCCACCGATTCAGTGTTGACTCTTGTCAGGTGATGACCTGCATCTTTAACATTGAGTCGGACTACCAACATTGTATTGGTTGAGAAGGGGGGAGGGAAGAAATGCTGGCTTTAATTTGTAAAGATGCAAGATGTTTATAGAGAACATACTCCACACTCGGAATCGAAAAAGCAAGAACAGGCATTCTTTCAATGTTATCTACAAGCAAACTGAGCCGTCATTGGCACGAAATTTACCAAATAACCCTTCAACTGGGAACTTGATGACCGTTATGATAACAGATCCGTTCCAATTTCAGTGAGTGAATGACTTTTGACTTTCAGAGAAGTCACAGAAGCTTTCACGGGAGTTCTTCCCAAAGTGTACATTGCAAGTCAGTGTCGCTGTCCACCAGACTACCCCAAAGTAATGGAGTCAAAACCTGCTAAATGTACAAGAAATTTAGACAATTCTGTTGGTGAGGAGAAATTGCGTTTAGCTGACACAGCACATCCCATTGAACTAG